CCAGCATTTGCGGCTCAGGCCTCTGTCTTTTGTGTAATAATAAATTATTAAAAATACCCCTACCCATAACACAGCCCCGGTGCCTTCCCTACCTTGGTGTGCAGTTGGTGGCAGCTGCTCCTCCCAGTCTGCCCAGACCATGTCCCCAGTCTGCCCAGTTGAGATCACTGCTGTGTGTCCCCATCTGCCTTTCTAATCCTCTGGGAATGAAACTGCCTTCATCAGCCTTACTAATGAGAGATTTGATAGCTGGAGTTGAGCGGAGGGAGGCAGCCCCCGGCGTGAGCCGTCCCGGTGTGGTACGAAGGGCCGTCCTGCCGTCGGCCCCTGGAGCTGGCACTCGCCTCCACATACGGGTGAATGTAAAATAGGGGTGTCGGCAAACTGGGGAGGGTGCTTTGCCCAGCACCTGTGGAGAGATGGCTGGTGTTTTGGGGTGGTCTGGTGCTGGGAAGGTGAAGCTGAGCTGGTTAGACACCCTACAACAGGCAGCCTGGAAAGCCGCTGGGCTCTGGGAGCCACCCTGACACTCCGGCGTGCCCAGTGCCGGCATTCGCGGCACAGCACAACCCCCCGCGGTGTGCCCAGCCCTGCAGCCCCCGGGGTGCTGCTGCTCTCCGCACCGAGGGGTCCCCTCCCGCGGCACCGCAGCGGGGCTGGAGATGCCTCAGCAGCGGTTTCCCTGTCTCCTCGCTGGCACAGTCATCATCCCACCCACTGGGTGGGGAGTGGATGGAAACATCCCTCCGGCACATGTCTCCAGATGCTCCCCAGGGCCTGCAGCATCTTGAGTTGCTTTACAGGAGAGCGGATGCCAGGAAAAATATACACAGGGGACTATTTCGGCAGAGGCTTACAGCAGGGTGAGGCTGTATTGATATAGCACAGCAGCTCAGCACCTGGGCGTTATTCCTGCTCCACGCTCAGGTCTGCTCCTCCCCGAGCTCCTGGTGAGCTTCTGTTGCACTGTGGGTCTCGGGGCCTGTGGGTGAAGCCAGCCGGGCTCCGGGCTGTGCCATCAGTCCCGGCACAGGGCAGGAGTTGCGTGGCCAGGATCCTCAATTCTTATCCCAGTAAGGGCGAGAAGCAG